TGTTCTCTCTTTTGAGTTCACATAAAATGAAGTTCTCAAAGCTATTTCTTTTGGTAGTCTTGGCCATCATCTCTCATTATGCAGCCCATGCAGCTGCTTCCCTAGAGGAAGAGGGAGTTCCTCCGGTGGAGACAGAAGACGATTCTCCGTCGAGTTCGCTCCGCCGCTTTCTCATTGACTTCCAACCTCTGGGGAATAAGATGACGTGCAACAAATACCCGAGAGTGTGCCGTAGTGAGGGCAGCGCGGGGCCGGATTGCTGCAAGAAGAAGTGTGTAAACGTGGAGACGGATCAATACAACTGCGGGAGGTGCGGGAAGAAATGCAAGCAGTCGAAGATATGCTGCAAAGGGAAGTGTGTGAATCCGACGTTCAATGTGAAGCACTGTGGAGGCTGCAACAATGAGTGTAGTAAAGGAAGCTTATGCGTATATGGGATGTGTGATTATGCTTAATTAAGCTATGGCCCTAGCCCTTTCATGGCATGACCTACGTATAGAAATTAAATAATTTGTTAAGATTATAGATTTATGGTTCATATATAATTAATTTGCTAGGGTTTGTGCATGCATGTGTAGCACTAGGTGGTAATAATAGGCAAGGTCTCAATACCAGACTTTTCCTATAATCAAGGTCCATTCTTTGGTTTCTTAATTTTAATTAAGCTAGAAAAAAAAAAGCTCCAAGATTGTTTACGTGATGTGTGTGAGATCTTGAACAGTTTATATTGATTATTTTGATGAAGTTTTCGATATTGTGTAATGTGTAACATGCAATTTCATGAGCCAAAAAATAGTTTAAAATATTGGACAAGTAACAAAAATTCTTTTTTGAAAAGGAAAAAAAAATCTCACTCCATAACATAGATTTCATATGTATTTTAGAAAAGAATCACAAAATCATTTGAATTATGGTATTTTTATACCATTTAAAACCTTTTGCTATATATTTAAATATATCATTGAAGTGATGATCGGATAGATGTCAATTAGTGCTGAGTTTAAATGCTAATGTTGGCGGTTGCTATACTTGATAATACATATTTATTTATAAACTAATTTATTTTCTTCCTCTCCTTTGTTTGACTTGGCTTATAAAAAGGGGTGGAAATGGAAATGAAAAAAAATTATATAATATAAGCTTAAGTAGGGAGGGTTTTGAATTATCAGAAAAGGATATGAAAGTGGCTATGTCAAGTTTCTTATTCAATGAAGTCAGAAATAAGAGAGACGTAGAGGCATTTTCAACTTATAAAAGCGACTTTTTAACCTATTAAATTAAATACCAAACAATCTACCATATTTTAGTATTAATATTAATAGCAACCACTGATAAATACACAAATTAGTATTAATGGCAACCACTGATTTAATTAATATTGGATTTAGACTTGGGCATCCCACTAATTAAATACACAAATTAGTTGCAACAAATATAAACATTACTTCATTAAAATATCAGATTTTTATTTGTTATTTTTTAAATTCAGTTTTGAGTTGCTGTGTTTATTGGTAACGTGGTAAATAATATATTACTTTTTAAATTTCAATTTCAATATTAGTAAATAGTTTCTTAATAGAAAAAGCAGGTTACAATTCATGTTATTATTTTTCAAACATTTCACATTGATTGCATATGATTCACTTAATCAAATAATAATAACAGAAGAAAAAAGAAGTAATAGAGCTTAAAAGGGTGTTTTAGTATAATATTAATAAACTGTGATGATTAATAATTAATTGGGCATTAAGTTAAAGTACTTAAATTCTTTGGAGCTGTTATTTGACACCTGTTGGTCAGACATGAAAATTCAAATATTATAAAAATGATAAAGGTCAATGTGTTTGGATCAAGTTAATATTAAAATAACATAAAGTACCTCCTTTAGAGTAATGGGAGATGTGTTTGTGGTTGTACTTTTAACTTTCTATAGAATAATTCAATCAATCCCCCAATGAGATCGATAGGAGTTTTATATATCTTCCACATGTCAAATTATTCTCATACTAATTATTGGTTTTATACTTTAGTTCTAAATTGTGCTACTTTATTCTATTTTTGTAACCTTTCCAACATTAAACATTTTAATTTTGTTCTAAATATATGAGGCTGTGTATTTAAACGTGTCATTTCTCTCCTATTTAATAATATTGATTTTCACTCGTTAGATCTTGTACAAATTTCGAAAGATAATTTTAGGGTGAGTATTAATAGTAAGGGAGAGCCTTCTGCCGGCCAATGCAGTACCCTCCCTTTAGTTCCCATTTGGGTTTACCTTGTTTACCGGTCGACTCTAATTGACAGCAAAAAAAGATAATCTTGTGCTATACTCAAGTGATCTCTTTTCTATTGAGACACACATAATCCCATTGTGTCCCAAATCACATTCCATGAATCGAAATGAGGAGTATACTCATCCATCAACCCTTTGATAATAGTTGTCTTATYCCGTTGAGTTATAATCGGACTGACAAAATATATTACATGACATTTAAAAATTGAGAGATATTATTTGATTTCAAAATATGTAACAAACACTTTTATTTTTATTGTTTTATTGAAAAAAGGTTAGTACATACATTTTTATTGTTGTTTTCTAATTTTAATTGCAACCAAAAATTAAACAAGAAAAATTTTGTTACTGAGATACCGCCGTCATCCGCTCGCCCCTCCATCTTAATTTAGAAAGTGAAACAGTCCATTAATTAGGTCTTGAAGTTTATATTAAGAGACTAATTATGGCCAAATTTTAGCACACCAAACGCACATAGTCTCTCACTTTGCCGTCAGTCAAAGGAAGAAGAGTTCGAAAAAGGTTGAAAATCCATTTCATAATAATGTGTTCTTTGAATTTTATATAGGTCACCACCTTCTAGGCTAATTCTTAATTTTTACAATAGAAATGCAGGAATCGAGGAGGGTTATTTGTAATTGTAAAGAGCAAAGATCAGGATGTTTTTGTTGTTACTGTTCATGATGCCGATACAACAACAAAAGAGAGCGATTATAATAATCCTAATCCCACTGTTTGTAAGTATTTGTTCTTTTTGGTATTGTTTTTCTCACCGGGATTTCATACTAATAGAGATAATTTGTTTGACTGTTCAGCCAACGAGTTATATAAAATAGCACGCAACGGTGACTGGAAGACCGCGAAGACCGCGAAGTCTATATTCGAATTGGATTCATCGACTCTTACAATGAAGTTAAATGATGAAGGGGACACTGCTCTTCACATTGCTGCTGCTAAAAAGCATGTTTCTTTTGTTCATAATTTGGTTCAGCTCATCTCCTCATCCGACTTGGCTCTCAAAAATGATAGAGGAAATACTGCCCTCACTATTGCCTCTATGTCGGGTGTTGTAAAAATTGCCAAACTAATGGTGGACAAGAATCCCACTCTTCCAAATCTTCTCGATCCTCAAAATCCTCAAAATCCAAGTCCTGTTTTTGTCGCAATTGCTTACAAGCGCAGAGACATGGCTTCCTTCCTCCTCTCTAAGACCAATTTCTACGCTTTACATACTTCTCAACAGATTGAACTTTTTATTGCTACCATCTCGCTTGATTATTATGGTAATTAATTTGCCTTCCATCATAATTTATCTGCATCAAAGTTTCTTAATTAAAGTTTTTATATACCCATCAATGCCAATTAATTAATTATATCTTTCTCCCTCTTTTTTCTAACAGACATAGCATTGAAAATTCTTAAAAAGAAACCAGAATTAGCATTGGAACGGAGGGAGGAAAATGGAGACACAGCTTTGCACGTCCTGGCCAGAAAACCATATGGAACAATTGGTAGCAGTAGTGAGCTTCGGAAAACATATCTAACAGATTTCTAGGTGAATATATACGTAAATTTATATCTATTTGAAGCACAACTATATATGTATATATATGATATGATATGATATGATGTGTTATATCATGTTTTCTCTTGCTAGGCTTCAAAGGACAACAAACTTTTGATGCAAACATTAGCTCGTCGAGTGGTTGAACRTTTATGGGAGGTTATTTTTGGTAGCCTTAAAAAAGACGACCTAAAAAAGTTGATCCAAAGTCCCTCAATATTAATGCACGATGCGGCAAGAGTTGGAAATGTCGAGATCTTAATCGTGCTCATTCGTTCATGTGTTSATTTGATATGCATAGTTGATGATGATAATAAAACCATGTTTCACGTAGTAGCTGAAAATCGACAGGAAGATGTCTTCACTTTAATATATGAGATAGGATAGAAAGAAGAATGACAAGTAGAATATTATTTATGAGTTGTGAGAAAAATAAATGCTACAGCATGCTACATGTGGTTGCAAAATTGGCTGCTCCATCTCACTTGAATAGAGTCTCCGGAGCTATTCTTCTCAATAACAACGAGAGAGTGCATGGATGAAGTTACGTAGAATCTTTGATAATCTATATGTTTTGGTAACATTTTCTCTTTCTTATTTTTAAGAAACATATGCAGCTATCTTTTGAGCATACAAAAACCATTTCTACCGGTTATGTTTCTGATAAATAATATTAATATTGTGCTATGGGAATGAAATTTTAATT